AATAGTTCGAAAACAACTGATGATCTGCGAAAATAATCTTTAACAAAATATTGGAAATTGTATTCCCTACAAAAGTTGTAATAACATCTAAAGTCGTACGACGACCAATAATCGCGATACATGCAAAGATTTGATACTAATGACCTTTGACTTCCACTATATCATTAGGATTTTAACTATGCGATATTATAAGGAAATGTGTATAATAAATTGTTACAACTATTCCAAAAACCAGAGTTACAATGAATACCGAATGTTCTTCCCCTAGTAATCTCTTCATTATATGGGCACCAAGTCACTAGGAATTGATCGGAATTGAAAGAGTCAACACACTTGCTATACAGTGAAGGGAAATTGATAAAGTTAATCTGACGAATGCAAAACCGTTCTACGCATCGAATACTGAATTAAAACACGGGAAAGAGAATCTTTTACCACAAAGTTTCTCGACGCAACCTCTACGAAAGGAGAACTAGAAACCTTGTCAAAATAGGCAAGTCCCACTTAATATTGATGGTACGTTTGTTAAAACACTTTTAATGTCATTCATCGAAATTAGATCTAAATATCTTAGGAGCCTATAATGGTCTTGGTGTATTTTTTTGGATCTATGGCTTTATTAGAAAATATAGTTTTTGTGTAAACAAGAATTTGAATTATTTATTTAATAATATCCTCATATTTTCTCACATATCTCACATTTAATTGAGAACTAAAAATGCAACAAATTCTCTTTTCTCATTTGAAAGAAAACGGCACCTTTTGAAATATACCGTTAATAAATATCTAAATATGTCACTTATTTTAAACAAAAAAGAAATTTCATTTATAATGAAAATTAAATAAAGAAATAGCAAAATCTTAACACTAATTAAAATAGCACGACTTTCAGTCACACTTATTAATATTTCAATTTTATTTTAAACACCTTTTAGCCGCTAATAACAAATACAAATATTTTTATAGCAGTTCGTTATATTCGTCGCAGTTCGAATGGAGTGTGCACAATGAAAATAATTTAAAATAGATTTAATTTTTTGTTTTTTTTTTTCATCTTCAACAAAGTTACAAACATTCTAAATTAATAAACAATTGATTACTTATTAGCTACTTTTCTTCTAACTATACAAATTAAGGGAGTTCAAACATTTTGAAAATAGAAAAAAAAACGTTGTAAATTAAAAATACAAACATTTGCTTACATATTACATGTAATTGCTTACAAACTACTCAGTTGTTGTTTTTTTCTCTTTATTTTTACATTAATTGTAACCATATCAGTAATCAAAATTAATTAACACCAGTGATAAAATAAACAGAAATATATTGTATAGTAAAAGATCGGTTGTACATTTTATTTTTGTAGAAACAATTTGAACATGAATCAACTTGTTAAGAATAATTGTGTAAGAAATGGGGGTTGACTGATAGAAAAATGTTTAAAAAAACAATTGTGAAATTAAATACAATTATAACGATCGATCTTAACTACATTATTATTATTATTAAAATGTTTATGTAGATCGGAATACTAACGACAGGCGACAAACGGCGGAGCGTTGAATGTACTTATAACAAGTTATAGTGCTATATTCGGCTGAGCCGAATCTTAAATACCCTCCACCAGCTACTTTTATATTAATACTTTTCTAATTGATCAAATATTTGTAGAAATAAGTTTTCTCATGTCTTAAATAAAAAAAATCCCAAGATTTTTTTAATTTTGTAGTAAGTTATGAGTATTTATGTGATTTTCTGAAGGGAAACATGTATAGGACCTACCGCACCCATGTTATGGACCGATCGTGAAAAAATCTTGATATATAATTTTTGTATACAAAACTAATATTTGTGCCAAATTTTGTATCAATAGCTTTATTTGGTAATAAGTAATGTGAGTTTAAGAGATTTTCGTAAAAGGACCTTGTATGTGAGCTATGACCAATTATGTATATAAAGACAAATTTTCAAAATTCTGTATCTATATCATTATTTGGTAATTAATATTGTGCATTAAGTGATTTTCTGGAGCGGACCTAGTATGAGAGCTATGACCAAATATGGACCGATTGCAAAACAATTTTATAGTGTAATTTATGTATATAAGAGCACTATTTGTGCTAAATGTTTATATATCAATATTTTGTAATGAGTTATGTGCGTTTAAGTGATTTTCGGGAGGGGACCTTTTATGGGAGCTATGACCAATTATGGACCGATCCGAAAAAAACTTCCATAATAATATTTCTGTATATGTGAACAATACTTGTATCAAACTTTATATGGATATTTTAATTTAGTAATGAGTTATGTGTGTTTAAGTGATTTTCGGGATTGGACCTTGTACGGAGCTATGACCAATTATGGACCGATCGGAAAAAAATTTCATAGTAATATTTATATATGTGAGAGCAAAACATGTACCAAATTTTATATGGATATTTTAATTTAGTAATGAGTTATGTGTGTTTAAGTGATTTTCGGGAAGGGACCTTGTATGGGAGCTATGACCAATTATGGACCGATCGGAAAAAAAATTCACAGTAATATTTCTGTGCATATGAGCAATACTTGTACCAAACTTTATATGGATATCTTGATTTAGTAATGAGTTATGTGCGTTTAAGTGATTTTCGGGAGGGGACCTTGTATGGGATCTATGACCAATTATGGACCGATCAGAAAAAAATTTCACAGTAATATTTCTGTGCATATGAGTAATACTTATTCCAAATTTTATATGGATATCTTAATTTAGTAATGAGTTATGCACGTTTAAGTGATTTTCGGGAAGGGACCTTGTATGGGAGCTATGACCAATTATGGACCGATCGGAAAAAAAATTCACAGTAATATTTCTGTGCATATGAGCAATACTTTTACCAAACTTTATATGGATATTTTAATTTAGTAATGAGTTATGTGTGTTTAAGTGATTTTCGGGAGGGGACCTTGTATGGGATCTATGACCAATTATGGACCGATCAGAAAAAAATTTCACAGTATGGGAGCTATGACCAATTATGGACCGATCGGAAAAAAAATTCACAGTAATATTTCTGTGCATATGAGCAATACTTTTACCAAACTTTATATGGATATCTTGATTTAGTAATGAGTTATGTGCGTTTAAGTGATTTTCGGGAAGGGTCCTTGTATGGGAGCTATGACCAATTATGGACCGATTGGAAAAAACTTTCACAGTAATATTTCTGTGCATATGAGCAATACTTATTCCAAATTTTATATGGATATCTTAATTTAGTAATGAGTTATGCGCGTTTAAGTGATTTTCGGGAGGGGACTTTGTATGGGAGCTATGTCCAATTATGGACCGATCCAGAAATTTTTTTCTCTCAATGAATTCTATTAACATAAGATTTTAATTTGTAAAATTTTGTAAAGATATCAACATTCTGACGGAAGTTATTAACAAAAAACTCATTTTCCGGGAATATGCACTTTTGTATGGGAGGTATATGAAATTATGGACCGATGCTGGCAATTTTCAGCAGAAATAAATATCTTGTGTAGAAACGAATGTATAATGACTTTCATGAAATTATCTTGCATAGTTTTCGAGAAAATTACATCAGAATGTGTAAAAAATGCTTATTTTTTTCGAGGTTGTTTTAAATTTTGATTCATAACTTTTCCCAATGTGAACCGATTTTGCTCATTTTCAATACCAAATTGTACCGGATAATAGTGAATGTTTTGGGTGAATTTGGTTAAATTATATTGCTTCGTTTTAACGTGTGCGTGTTTTACACAGACAGACAGACGGACAGACGGACATAGCTAAATCGACTCAGAATTTCATAAGGACCCAGAATATATATACTTTGTTGGGTCTCAGATGGATATTTCTTGGTGTTACACACGGAATGACAAAGTTATAAATACCCTCTATCACCACTCATGGTGGTGGAGGGTATAAAAAGTCAACAACAATTTCTTCGAAATAAAACTCGAGCTAATGTGACTATAGACTAGACTATAGACTAGACTATAGACTAGACTATAGACTAGACTATAGACTAGACTAATAGACTAGACTATAGACTAGACTATAGACTAGACTATAGACTAGACTAGACTATAGACTAGACTATAGACTAGACTATAGACTAGACTATAGACTAGACTATAGACTAGACTATAGACTAGACTATAGACTAGACTATAGACTAGACTATAGACTAGACTATAGACTAGACTATAGACTAGACTATAGACTAGACTATAGACTAGACTATAGACTAGACTATAGACTAGACTATAGACTAGACTATAGACTAGACTATAGACTAGACATAGACTAGACTATAGACTAGACTATAGACTAGACTATAGACTAGACTATAGACTAGACTATAGACTAGACTATAGACTAGACTATAGACTAGACTATAGACTAGACTATAGACTAGACTATAGACTAGACTATAGACTAGACTATAGACTAGACTATAGACTAGACTATAGACTAGACTATAGACTAGACTATAGACTAGACTATAGACTAGACTATAGACTAGACTATAGACTAGACTATAGACCTAGACTATAGACTAGACTATAGACTAGACTATAGACTAGACTATAGACTAGACTATAGACTAGACTATAGACTAGACTATAGACTAGACTATAGACTAGACTATAGACTAGACTATAGACTAGACTATAGACTAGACTATAGACTAGACTATAGACTAGACTAGACTATAGACTAGACTATAGACTAGACTATAGACTAGACTATAGACTAGACTATAGACTAGACTATAGACTAGACTATAGACTAGACTATAGACTAGACTATAGACTAGACTATAGACTAGACTATAGACTAGACTATAGACTAGACTATAGACTAAACTAGAAAATAAATCTCTATTTACAACATTTGATGCTATTGGCAGTTATCGCCGGTCTTAAGCATTGTATTTTGAATGCTAATTATGGGTTATTGAAAAAATAAAATTTAAACTTACCACAAACATAGCGCGTCGCTTATAATGAGCACAACCTAAACGTTGATTTAATGATGTTGTTGTTGTTGTTGTGGTATCTGGCGATGATGAGGAAGAATTAGAATTATTATTAGCTATTGTTGTGGTGGTATTATTAATGTTATTATTCGATGTTGTTGTTGTAGTTTTTGTGGCTGATAAGTTGTTGCAATTATTATTTAAAATCGTTGATTTGTGATTATTTAAATTAATCATGTTTTTTGTATGCACTTGACAATGATGTTGATTATGATGATGATGATGTTTGTGTGGTTGTTGTAGCTGCTGCGACTGCTGGTGATGATGTTGTTGTTTTTGCGGCGGCTGCTGCTGCTGCTGATGATGATTATGATTGGTTATTATAGTAACTTCACTTTTAAGCGGATGTTGTGGTTCTAAAGCATTAAAGGCGGGTGTTGATAAAGATTTTCTTAAAATCGGTTTAGTTTCCAATAGTTCTAAATCGATCAATTCCTCACTGATATGGTTTTGTGTAGTCTGATGGGAATGTTGTTGTTGTTGTTGTGTTTGATTCATTATTAAAGAGTGAGTTAAGGCAGTGTAACGCCTTTTATTGAGAGGTGATTGAGCCATGGACTTGGTTTGATTTTTGTATTGTGAATGTTGCACTGTTGTTGTGGAAGTTGTTGTTGTTGTAGCTAAATCTTCAATTGCTTCGGTATTTGTGGAAGTCGTTGTTGTTGTAATATTTAAATTTATGTTATTTAAATTGATTTGATTGAAATCTTCTGCCAGTGCTGCCTGCTGGCCCTTCTTGTCTACAATCATTATTTGTTGCTTTTGTTGTTGTTGTAGTTTTAGTTACAATTGATAATAAACAGTATTATGAAACGATAGATGAACGTTGTTGTTATTTGCCTGTCGATGACTGTTTTATAGTAATAATGATGATAATAATGATGGCCTGGTGATGATGATTTGGTTTTTTGAAGGGAGGGAACTAAATAGCCACTGAACTGTTGATTTTTTATATGAAGTAGTGTTATTATTATTGCCAATTGTTGTTTTGTTTTTTTTTTCTCAATTTTTATTAAATTATTTCTTTTGTAAAACATTCGTCTTATTTAACTTCAAGGAACATTCTCGTTACGTTTTTTACTCTATTTAAAATGTTAATTTTATCACTTTATCTGTAAATAGCAGGTGTGTTGGTTTTTTATTAAAAACAACAATTTACATTTAACTTTTTATTTTTAAAAAATTAAAATTTTTTCTTATTTTTCAATAAGTTTAAGTTAAAATTTACTAAATATTCTATTTTTATTTAGTTTCGCAAAAAAATTTAAAACACCTTTTTAAACACGGATATTTTTCTAATTTATTTTTCAATATTCTAATATATTTTTTCATCTGTTTTTTGTTTTTCAAGTACAATGTTCATATTTATACAACAAAACTATAAAAAAATGTTTTATAAATAATTTATGTCTAGTAAATATTTTAATTTAATTTTTTGTGTCATTTGCAATTGTTTATCTTAAACATCTGTGTTTTTTCTTTATATTTTATTAATTTTTATTTAACATTTTTATTAAACTATGTCTTTACCTTATAGTTTATTTACTTTGTTTTTATTTAATTGTCGTTTTTTTTTTTTTTTTGAATATTTTAAATAATTACATTGTATTTAGTAGCTTTTAGTAATTAATATTTAGCCCAGAAAACCAGACAAAAATTTAAAACAGTGAAATGACAAATTGTTGATATTAATATAAATGTTATTTTAGCTTTATTTAAATATACTTCAATATTGTTCAACAATAAATAAATACCGAAATACTCATGAAAAAAACGCGATTTTTGGGTTAACACTTTATCAGTGTTTAAACTTTTATCTTTGTGGTTTATCTTAATTTCGTAAGGGTTGCCGAGAGAGATTATTTGCTATTTCCGAACCATAAAACTTTTAGACCGGAAATATGTTCCTTTAAAAACAGAAACAGACCAAGTAAGTTCTCAAAAACTCTATGTCCATGTAACTGTTATATTCGAGAATCGGTTACCGAGTTCTTAATGAAATTTAATTTCAAATTTATTAACTCTGATATCTGCTGCCTTTTTAAATACTATTAAAATTATTTACTAACAGACCCTCAAAATCTAAGGATTTAAGAAGAGAATTATAATATATAGAATATATCCATTTCTTGTTTCTGTGGACTAAGTTGAATACCCCTTTTTTCCAAACTTTATAAAAAATATAGCCCATTTATTCCTTTAATCAGTAAAGGATTTTAAGCTTTAACATTATAATTGCTTCCTTTATAAGTAGATTCTTCAACTGAATTTTGTGAAAATTTGCTTAGAAAAGTAGAACCCGGAGAACCATTTCTAGTTTAAAGAAATGACGTATATATACCTGATGTTGTAAAGAGTGTCCATAGTGACTGTTATCATGTGCTATATATTACGGACCAACTAAAAGTAATCTGTTGGAAAAGTTATTCAAAATTTATAAGGGAGTTATAAATCTATATGTGTATCTCCTTGTCTAACGATTTTGGCTAATTTATTGCTAAAGTGGGGCAATTTCAGCGTAATATCTTGGTATTTTATCCAGAGATTGTATTTTACATATTTTTTGAGACCCAACCGACCCAGAAGAACCATTTTCCATATACGACAAGTTTTACGAAATGAGGTATCTATACCTGATGTCGTAAACAGTGATTATAGTGACTGTAATCATGTGCTATATATGTATGTCTTACGGACTAACTAAAAGTTGTCTGTTGGAAGAGTTATTAAAATTTTATAAGGAAGTTACGAATGTAGACATCGATCTCCTCCTCTAACGATTTTGGCAAATTTATTTCTATTGTGGGGCAATTTCATTTCAATAATATCTTGGTATTTTATCCAGAGATTGTGTTTTACATATCTTTTGAGAGCCACTCGATCCAGGAGAACTATTTTCTATATATCACGAGTCTTACAAAAAGTGGCTATAGTGACTGTTATCATGCGCTATATATGTATTACGGAAATCGATTTCTTACAATCGTGGGGTAATTTCTGCGTAATATCTTGGTATTTTATCCAGAGATTCTATTTGAGATATCTTTTGACAAGTTGGTGGATATTACCGGATCCAACTACTACAAAAAGCGTTAAAAAGTCGCCCTATTGATATTGATTGGCCATTTTAGGTGGAACCATGTACTGCCGAGTACTCGAGTTATCTAATATCTGACCATTGCCGTCCGATGCTTAACTTCCGAGATGCAAAAACATCGCTTCGGTATACAACCACGCAGAGGCCATCCCCTCTATTGATTCGGCAGCAGCACCTAGAGATGTAATCGGCAGATCGTAATACGAATCCATCAAATAAGTAGAGGATATGTTCTTACTCACAAAGAACACAGTGTGGTAAATCTGGTATGAACAGAGTAAAACCTGAACATACCAGGACAAGGAAGGAAAATTCAACGGTAACATAAGATAGCTTACATCCATCACTATTCAACCCAGCACACTTCTCGTTCATCCGCTAAATTCGATCTAGTTATACGGATGCGTGAGGCCCGCGTACTCCTATATCAATCCCGTATCATGTAGACTTAACACCAACTCATTTCAAACGCTTAGTCCCACAGTCACTCTTCTGTGGGGTATCTGTTGTTTTGGCAACAGTGCCAAACTTACTCCGAATTATAGATTTTACCGTACATCAGTATTTTAACCGACATTCTCTTCCCGTGAATTTGGTTTTTAAACCATGTGCACACCGAAGGGATCTCTCAAATAATCGGGAAAAGACAAAGTCTGATAAACTATAACCTTCGGGATACCGCTTCCCTTGGTACCAGATTAGGTGGTTCTCTGGTTCGACCCCATGTCAAATTATTCCAAAGAAAGAACGAGGATACATTTGATCATCACCAGTTTATAGTCCCGCCATGCTAGAGGTTTTGTTAGCATCTCTTTTCCCCTGGATTGCAATAACACCAAGATGGGGGTTTCATTTCATGCCCCGGGGGAATGATAAGGAGATAAATTGATCTTAATATATAAAGGTTTGTTCTGGCTCCTAGTGACTTTCTTTTGGTTTAAAAGACTTCTTTAGAAAAACATATATTATCCAAATATTGGAAATGAGATAGAATTTGTAAGTTCAACCTGTGATTTGCCGCAGCAGGTTCATATAGTGAATGATCCTAATGAAATATATCATATCGGTCGAACATTAAAGGACTCCCGAGAGCTACATTGCTAAAACATTGCAAATCGCTTGTTTCGACTTCTTATTATGTATGTATGTCGGAAAATATGCAATTAGATCATTAAGGACTACCATGTTCCGACTTCTTATTGTATATGCCGAAATATAACCAACATGTGGATTCATATAAAACGTAAAATCACAAAAAATCTCCATCTGGTGATAAATATGGTTCCATAACTGTCTGAAATGTTAAGTAACTTTTGGATAAACAATTTTGAGGATAAAATGGTGGCATTCACACGTTTTAATGAAACTACTCCAATCCTTTTAATTTGAACATTATTAAAGGATTAGGATCAGGGTTCTAAAATTTTAACATGATCATGCCTAAGAAGCGAATATATTGACATATTTTAGGTCTTCGTAGCAAGATACGATTTTGGAATAAAATAGAATAAAATTTTTTCATAATTTGTTTTAAAAGCACTGAAAAATATTTAAAGAGGTCAAGTGACATGACCTTTTCTTGCAAGTTATTTAAAAATTTTCTTCAGTTTACCACTGTAGTATTTCTTAGGTGGTACGTCCAATGTCATGTCATAATGGACTCACATGGACTCTGCGACACTTTTAATACAAGAATATTAGATTAGGATTTAATATAGTTACTTTTAACTTTGGTTTATGTTGCATTTGGGATTGCCTGAAAAAAGTATTGTATATAGACTGTATTGGGCCGGGTGTAGGAGTTTTATACTTTGATATTTCGAACGCTGTCCTTCCATTAATGTCATGGACATTAATGGACTTTTAATGTCCATGACACACTATCACCTTGTGTCTTAATAATTTAAATTTCTCTATGCTGGCAACCCCAATTGATTAATGAAACGTATGTATAAGTTCCAAGACAAGTTCCCCGAAAAAATTGAATTGAAAACGGGTGTTAGTGATTTTTTTTTATCGTTTGTTTGTGATACTTAAAACGTGTCTCACATTAACAATCAAAAAAATACTTAAAGACACAGAAAAAAAAGTGACAAAAAAATATGAAATTGTATGAAGAATATTGAACAACAAAAACAAATAGACGCCGCATTTTGACATTAATTTTTCGTGTTTTTATTCTTATTTTTTTCGTGTTTTTTTCGATTGGATTTTGTAAACCACTTTGTGCACACACTCAAAATTATTATTAAGAAAAATGAAATAAATTGTTAATTAATAAAAAAAAAATCCCCCCCTTAATTAATGGCGGTTTAAAATATTAAGAGTATTATTAATATGATGGTTTAACGTTATTTTGCATATTATTATTATTGTTTTTATTAGCATAAATTGAATTTAAATTATTTCAAAAGAAAGAAACGTCAAACATAAAAACAAAATGAAAAAATAACTTAAAAATACACTTGTTTAAATTAAACAATAATCATAAATACTAACAATTTGTATAGATTTCAAGGAATATTAAAAATATTTCTTTTAGCAATTCTTTCCTTGTTATTTATTTCTTTATTATTTTTTTTAAAAAAACACTTTAATAATTTCTTTGTTTACATCCACAAGAGATTTCTTCTTGTTAAATTCTTTAGTTGTTTATATATTTTTTGCTTTTAAAGTCTTTGATTATCAATAAATTTGTATTTAGTTTTGAATTGCAGATTGTCAAAAGCAAAAACAATCCTCTACACATTAAACGCTTAAGCGTATATTTAACTGTCACTTGTTTAGTAGTCGCGTGCCGAGTTGAACTTTCCAAAAAAAAAAAATCACATTCAAAATAAACCGTTTAGTTTAAAGACTCAACGTCTACTGAAATTTCAATACTCGCTTAAAGTTTTATTATGAATGGTTTTGAATGAAAATGCATCTCGTTTGAGTAATTGTTCTCGTTACATGATATATAAAACTCACACTCACGTTCACGCTCACTCACTCTCTTTCATTTCAAGAGTCAAAATGAAAATATAAATAGAGCCCAAGATCCGTCACAGAAAATCATTGATCAACAAATACTTACTACACATTCGAAAAGTATCTGTATTTTTAAATTTGTTTGTTTTGCTTTACGCTTTCTCTCTTATCAATTTAAATTTGTTTTTGTTGTTGTTAGAATGTTGATTTGTATTATTGTTTACACTTAATTGACAGTGGGTCAAAAGACAGCATATGCCAGTTTAATAACTTTTGATCATAATCTTTTCAGTTCTTAAATTTTTTAATGAGTTTCATAATAACGATAATAAGGAGATATCGGGGTTACTGGAAGTAATAACTGGGTCTAAGGCAGACACGCATGTATACTGTCGTAGTTACAAATAGAGGGAAAAGGGTCTTCTATCTTCTCTGCTAATGCCCTGCTCTAGCCGCCAAGAGAAACAGATTCCTTGGCCATTACTTCATATCCAACCTTAGTGAGTTATCTGGGTCAAAACTCAATGCCTTTCTTAAATTTCTCACGGCTATATAGGTAAAGCCTGCATTCCTAAACAGCCTAAATGTCAAAGGGCTTTTTAAACTCAACAGAAAGGTAAAAACCCTGCGGCCAAAGGGTACTGTCAATCAAAAGTCACAATATTTATATTAAAACGGGAAATTGAGCTGAAACTAAAGACAGAACTATAAAGCCTCAAACTAGAGACTGCTCATTTAAGGCCCATTGCCTACTATTCGAGTGCAATGGCATGAATTCGTCTAATTGGATTAAGAACTATGTACCATCATTAAAGCCATGGACTAGGGCTGAACTCAGAGTCTTATCCCAAGAGGTTCCAGGGCGGAGATCAATGTCGTATAGTTGGAAAAAAGGCCGATAAGACAACATCAAGAGTGAGAAAAAGCCTTTCTGAAATGCTAGAAGATAGAGTAAAAATGGTTACTTTGACTCTGCCGCCCTTAAGGTTTTAAACTGTGACAGAATGACAACAATTCAGTCCGTCCATAAATTTTTGAAATGGTTGTAACCAAAGAGACATTTTTCATCATTATGTTTTATATTTTTCAATTTCAGATTCCCTTAAAAGAGTCATTGTCCTTCGAAACACATGCCAAGTTTTCCGCATTCAGAGGTTTGCTGATTGCCAGCATCTAGTCCTCCTCCTGTACGGTCTTATGAAGCTTAAATATTTTCAAAAAGAAGAGGGTAGTAGGAGTCATCATTCATCATCATTGCAGAATAAAGAAAAAGGTGTCGGGGGTCACAGCAGCTCCAACTTCATTCAGAACTATAGCAGCTGTCACGATAATTTTGATTTGAAAACAATTTTGCCGAGGGCATTACTAATCGAAGAATTGTTTATGAAGAGGGAAAACATGAAGTTTGTTCTCTAATTTCACATACTCTAATTTACATACTTTTGACGTTTCAGCCTTTAGAGGTTTGTTGGTTTTAATATTTTCAAAAGGAAGAGCTAGTCGGAGTCCTCATTCGAGTGCAAGCTATCTTGTCTAATCGATTTGCCGATCATGATTGTAGACTAATGAAAATGAACGGCGTCACTCTGAACTATGGCTACCATCACGGTACTTTTTGATTTTATAGAACTATGCAGAGGGCATTATCGATTGACTATAGCGTTTATAAAGAGAGAGAGAGAGAGAGAGAGATCATTAAATATGCTAACTTTAATTCTTGTTTATATGACAGTAATTAAGCGATCCCTTATGTAATAGAGTAATTGAAATTTAATGATTTAAAACCTGCGTCACTGTGTCAAAATACAGAGGACTATGAAATGTTAATTATTTCAAACACTATTTTAACGATTTCGATTATTTAAAAACATTTTCGAGATCAAAATTTGAATAATTGAATTGTTTGCATTTAAAATTATTGCTGCCATTTTTATAACATCCTATAATTAATTGTATTTCTTATTGAAAAGAAACACATGAAATTGCAACAATTAATACAATTTTAAATCAGCTATGTCGAACCTTATACACTCACCAACAAATATGAGGCTTAAGATTAAACGTAATGTCGGAAGATGGTCCTATATTTTGGCATTGCAGAATTATTACAAGATTTTACTCATTTGTATGTTGTTCATCATGTCCTTAGATGGTTTTCGGAATAGGTTTTTAGTAATGAAGTAACTTGGTTGGTTAGTTCGTTAGTTAGCTAGTTAGTTAGTAGTTAGTTAGTTAGTTAGTTAGTTAGTTAGTTAGTTAGTTAGTTAGTTAGTTAGTTAGTTAGTAGTTAGTTAGTTAGTTAGTTAGTTAGTTAGTTAGTTAGTTAGTTAGTTAGTTAGTTAGTTAGTTAGTTAGTAGTTAGTTAGTTAGTTAGTTAGTTAGTTAGTTAGTTAGTTAGTTAGTTAGTTAGTTAGTTAGTTAGTTAGTTAGTTAGTTAGTTAGTTTAGTTAGTTAGTTAGTTAGTTAGTTAGTTAGTTAGTTAGTTAGTTAGTTAGTTAGTTAGTTAGTTAGTAGTTAGTTAGTTAGTTAGTTAGTTAGTTAGTTAGTTAGTTAGTTAGTTAGTTAGTTAGTTAGTAGTTAGTTAGTTAGTTAGTTAGTTAGTTAGTTAGTTAGTTAGTTAGTTAGTTAGTAGTTAGTTAGTAGTTAGTTAGTTAGTTAGTTAGTTAGTTAGTTAGTTAGTAGTTAGTTAGTAGTTAGTTAGTTAGTTAGTTAGTTAGTTAGTTAGTAGTTAGTTAGTAGTTAGTTAGTTAGTTAGTTAGTTAGTTAGTTAGTTAGTTAGTTAGTTAGTTAGTTAGTTAGTTAGTTAGTTAGTAGTTAGTTAGTTAGTTAGTTAGTTAGTTAGTTAGTTAGTTAGTTAGTTAGTTAGTTAGTTAGTTAGTTAGTTAGTTAGTTAGTTAGTTAGTTAGTTAGTTAGTTAGTTAGTTAGTTAGTTAGTTAGTTAGTTAGTTAGTAGTTAGTAGTTAGTTAGTTAGTTAGTTAGTAGTTAGTTAGTTAGTTAGTTAGTTAGTTAGTTAGTTAGTTAGTAGTTAGTTAGTTAGTTAGTAGTTAGTTAGTTAGTTAGTTAGTAGTTAGTTAGTTAGTTAGTTAGTTAGTTAGTTAGTTAGTTAGTTAGTTAGTTAGTTAGTTAGTAGTTAGTTAGTTAGTTAGTTAGTTAGTTAGTAGTTAGTTAGTTAGTTAGTTAGTTAGTTAGTAGTAGTTAGTTAGTTAGTTAGTTAGTTAGTTAGTTAGTTAGTTAGTTAGTTAGTTAGTTAGTTAGTTAGTTAGTTAGTTAGTTAGTAGTTAGTTAGTTAGTTAGTAGTTAGTTAGTTAGTTAGTTAGTTAGTTAGTTAGTTAGTTAGTTAGTTAGTTAGTTAGTTAGTTAGTTAGTTAGTAGTTAGTTAGTTAGTTAGTTAGTAGTTAGTTAGTTAGTTAGTTAGTTAGTTAGTTAGTAGTTAGTTAGTTAGTTAGTTAGTTAGTTAGTTAGTTAGTTAGTTAGTTAGTTAGTTAGTTAGTTAGTTAGTAGTTAGTTAGTTAGTTAGTTAGTTAGTTAGTTAGTTAGTTAGTAGTTAGTTAGTTAGTTAGTTAGTTAGTTAGATTATTATCATAATTTTGTTACAAACGTAACGACAAATTCAATTTATCTCCCACGTTGGTTATAAAAATTCAAATGCCATCCATCTGGTTTATTAATTCACTCTTAATTAAATTAGAAACTTGGCAAAAAATCAAAAAACGTGTGATCAATGTTAAGATCAATTAAGCATAGACAAGGTCAAGGTTTCCAAAAACTGCACTTTCATACTTTTTACCCACTGTAACGAACAATGCTGGAAATGTTCATGCTCAAAACAGGGAGTATAAACATATTTTGGGGTTTTTTACTCAATACGATCGATACTTTTACGCTGCTTGCGCTCTTGTGAACTCATAAATTTATTTGTTTTCATGTTTCGGCAAATTTGTTGTGGTTGTTGTTGTAATTATTTGTTTATTAAACGAAATTCTTACTTCGATCGTGCGCGCTGACGTAGTATGTACTACATACAGTGTGTATGATGGGTGAGTGAGTGTGTTTGTTGTTTTCTGTTTGGTATTGATTTCTCATATAAACATTAATAATTATTTTATGACTATTGCTGCTGGTGTATTCGCATGAATAATAACAATAAAAGACAACAACAAAATATCTATGAGATATTCGCACATAGTTAGATCAATGAATGCATACAATATACAATAAGTGTGTGTAGTGAGTAAGTAAGTATTAGATTGATGGCTACAGATACATTTTTCATTTGTTATTAAGTATTATTGTACGTTTGAATTCTGAAAAATGAAATAAAATTTGAAAATAAATGTTTAAAAAATTGTTTTATTTCAGGGTTTTTATGCGTTCATTTACTGTGTGTTTTTTTTTTTCTAAGTTGAACTTGTACTTGTTGTTTCATTAATATAAAAATACTGTTTTTTTATTTTTTTTTAATTTATTTGCTCTGAATCTACACGGCCTGTTTGGTTTTTAAATCTATTTGCCAAAATAGCAAAAGTAGTTCTAGTTTTAATTTGTAACCACATTTATTTGTATGTCTGTCTATCTGTCCTCTGTCCGTCTAACTGCCAATATTGGCTAAATGTTGCATGTCCGTCCGTCCGTCAAATTGTCTAAGCTAAATGCGAGCAAATGTTAACTAAAATAATATTTCAATAACCTTACCATGGTAGTGAATAGTTGTCGTTGGTATTTTTTTTTATTTTTACGTAAAAAATGTGTGCAATGCGTTTAGTTCGTATATTAGTTAAGTCAGTTCACTTGATCGCTTGATAGCTCGCTCGCTCACTCATTTATTGGTTCATTCATCAGTCTGTTAAGCGGTCAGTGTCAGCGTCACAGTGTTTTGAAC